ATATATGTGACCCTGGAGCACAAAACCAGTCATAAGGGTCAATTTTTCGAAATTGAGATTTATACATCATCTGAAAATTAAAAAATCTGGAATCTGAGGGTGCAAAAAAACTCAAAATACTGAGAAAATCGCCTTTAAAGTTTTCTAAATGAAGTTCTTAGCAATGCATATTACTAATAAAAAATTAAGTTTTGATATATTTACGGTAGGAAATTTACAAAATATCTTCATGGAACATGATCTTAATATCCTGATGATTTTTGGCATAAAATAAAAATCGATAATTTTGACCCATACAATATTTTTTTGGCTATTGCTACAAATATACCCCAGCGACTTAAGACTGGTTTTGTGGTCCAGGGTCACATTTATAAATGCTTGGAAATAGAGAAACATGTGCAAAACACTAGATTTAAGTAAAAACTATGTTTTTTTAGGGGTAGGGGTTGGGTTAGCCGATAGAAAATATCATTAACTTAAAGGGGTCATATGATGCTTTTTTAAAGATCATTATTTTGTGTATTTGGTGTAACAGAATATGTTGACATGGGAAGTCTATGAAGTGTCTTCACTAAGATAGCAAAAAAAGTTTGTGTGTGTGTGTGAAAATATTCAGATGCAACCCCCTTTGTAATTGTTAACATTTTCATAAGTAACTGTAATTTAATTGCACATTTTTTGCAACAGATTACAGTTACATTTATTTTATGTAAATCTGTTACATGTAACCCCAACACTGACTGTCATGGGATTGACATTCAGTTCATTGTTAATTTGCACGAAATACGTTTAGATAAAGTAAATTATCTAGAATTATATTGCTATTCGTATATATTAGAGGGTAGCTTTATTTTTAATAACTGTATATAGTAGTAATTAGGGTGTCAACTAGATTTTAAACAAACTGTTGCTTGGCAAGGTTTATTGAATACTTTTGAATAAAATGACACTGGCAATAACTATTTAATCTGTCTTTAACTGTCAGTGGAAAATGTTATTGTAAATAATTGTATGCCAAAGTCTGGACCTTGGTGTTTCCAGAAAACCAGACCACATGTTTCCATTTAAGATTGACTGGTTTTAATTTCGGCAGATTATTTCACATTTTTATTTGTTTATTTTTTGTTATTATTATATATTCTTAGTAAAGATTGGCAAGCAAATGTTTTAAGACCTTGACCTCTTTTTTTCCTTTTGAATTGCACTAACAAAATATTCAGGAAGTCACATGACACAGTGAATGATTTGAAAATTTGGTTTTATTTATTAGGCTGGTTAAATATTATGTCCTACTATCCCATCTGTACTTTCTTTACTAATATAATCTCACTCCAAAGGTGGTGAACCTGTTGATGGGTATTCTGTTGACTGTGGCAGTAACTCACCCTGAGAACGTCCCTACTGTTGACCTGCAGTATGAAGTTATTGAGCATTACTTTGCCTCAGACAGGATGTCAGGTACGTTCATTAGATATTTTCGATAATTAAATGCTGTAAATCTATATTTAATACTAAAACTACAGTGGCATGTAATTCTACTTTTTTGCAGTTTTTATATATTTTTGTATTTTATATATTTTTTTAAAATTTTTGGTTTATTTTATTTATATTTATAATCTCTAAAATGACACAATTTATCTTTTACCCCACAGAGAATGCTTGTGTTGGCTTTGCCATCTCTCTCCTTATGCTCACCATTAGTGCCATGATGGTGTATGGGGCCATTACTGTAAGTTTCTATAAATTGCTACACCTGTTCTAATTATTTTATGTTGAATAAAATAAAAACATTTTGACACCTTTATTCCTTGTGCTGTGCTGAAAATCCTTTACCTAATTTTTTTTCCTGTTTCAAAAATGACCAGCCTTGTTGATTTCTCATTATTATGATATATTGTCACCATATCTTAAATCTTGCCAATATTATAGCATAACAAGAAATATATTAGCAATTTTTAGAAGGCTGATCATTTTTGACTGGGAACACTACAAGTGTCCACAAGGGGGGAAAAATCTCCCCCAAAAAGTACAAAATAAATCAAAAATGTTATGAGAAAATGACCGGAACACAGCATGAGGGTTAAAAGGGTTGTCATGATGCAACATCACATATTGCATATAATGAGCATTGAACATTGTAAAAATTATTTGACATTTAAAGGCACTACAACAAAATGCATCAATTTTTCCCCAAACATTTGATGGGGTCATGTATTCTAGAATAGAATAATGTGTTTCACCACTGTGTTCATCTGTACTTCACAGTCTTGCTTGAAGTCATCTTTAAAAAACAGGTTGGATCAGTGAACTTTTGTTGTATAGTAGTTTCTGCTGTCAATGCACATTTGCCATACCTGAGCTTTTT